TATGAAAAAATATACATAATAGAAAACAAATCTTTTCTTACATTCATTTACCACCTATTGGGCTGAATTTTACATAAACTGTTTATATGACACTGTGTGTATAGCCCATTTTAAAGTAATTGATTTATGGGTTTGGTCGGTGCAAAGACAAAGAAAACAAATGTTAATGTTGGACTCTTGCATAAACTGCACAAATCCACAGTCAGGTGCAGCAGCCCAGCTTAGATGTAATTAACATGTACTTCCCATTAAATCCATTTAGACGTAATTTGACTTGATGTACTTACGTCATTTTCTATCAATGAAATCCAGTGTGTGGAATAAAGAGCCTGATGTGGTTAAAACCCTTGAACCTGGACATTTGACTGGAGATAAAAAGGTCTGACTCGTTAATACAGGGACTTTTCCAGTGACATTATCCTGCATGAAGGCTGAGGATGATTCGATGTGTATTCTACCATAAGCAAAACAAACTATTCTTCAAATGAATGGCCCAGTGACACAAATACATGAGGCAGAATGATCATGAAACTAGGTTACGGCAGGGTCTGAATGAATTCTTAATAATGACAGATGTGGAAGGAAAGTGGCACTGTGACAGTTTCTTAAATGAAGGGGAAACCATGTTGTTTCTTCAGTAGAAATATATTTCAAAGATGCAGCAGTATGAACAAACAACACAAAGTTTCTCTAAAATCCAACTACTGTAAGAGTCACTGTAAAAACCCCAAAACTCAAATCCCTTTAGTCCAGAGTTGAAAATCTCTTTCAGGCACTCCTCGTTGTGAGGCACTCGCTGATATGGAGCTCAAAATGCCTTGCTATGGTTTGGTATTCCTAGGCTATAGGCTGTTGACTTGCACTGAGAGCAAAGAGAACGACAGAGATTATGGGCAATTAAAGCCCACTTTATGTTGGTGTGCTGGCGTCACACAGTCTGGCCAAGAATGCTCACCTCGGCTAATACTATCAATGAGAACAAACTCTGCAGCATCATCTTATTATGTACGGTGAATTATTAATGCCAGGGCTAGCACAGTCAGGCTCAGAGGGCTGGCCAGTTAAAGAAAGAAAGGTGCAATGAGACTTTGTTAGAATGCTGAATAGTTAAATGCAGATTTGGCAAGATCTTAAACGGTGACAGGATATATTCACTATTTTACGAATTGTACTATTGAAACTATTCATAGTGGACGCACAACCACAGATAGAGAACTTATTGAACTTTTTTTACCGTTGTGAACTAGTGGAACCATCAGTTTGGCACCTTCATGCTTGACTCAGCAAGTCCAGCAGGCAGTTATTCCCATGCAGAGAAATGTAGCTGAGGGATTGAAAAGATTATGAAATTGCAGCAAGAGGTTGGTCCTGGCTGTTTTCTAACCAGCGTGTTGCAACATGGTTTCTCCATTAACTGCTCTGACCATGATTAACTACTGTATGTGATGTTTTCATGCAGAAAAACCTAGGGTGCATTGCTCTCTTTTAACCATTAGAGGGCCCATAAACCAAAGCCAATCTGTTGATATAGCAAGTCTCAAATGTCTCTCCAATACATTACAAGTCTCTGGTTCTTTTTCTGCTGTATTAGTATTTAGTTACATTTTATTTGATTGTGCCACAATTCTGCCACTCTGAAAAGACATAAATACAAAAATGTAAATGAAATAAATATGTATATAAGTCAATGTGTTTACTGTGTGATTATATGCATTTGTGCATGAGCTTGTGTCACCTCAGATGAAAGTCAGCTCAGGTCACTATACTTCACTGAGTCACTATGAAGACCTCTTAATGTAAAGAGAGACGTGAAATGCCCCAGAGGACACACATGCCTTCCTGTCTCACTGCCTCCAGTGTAATGAACTAGGTCAAACTGTCTCCACTTTCATTGACTGTAAACCCCTGCTGGGAGCAGTAGACTCCACAGCCATTACAATCACACTTGAAGGAATAATGGCTGTTATAAAATGGCGATTAGACCTGGACAATTTCAAAATGACAGGAGACCGGACAGGAAGTATGGCTGGTTAATAATGGCCGCAATGTCCAATGCCTAAGTTATTTAAAGTAGGCATGTATTTAAAATAAAATACTATTCATGAAGTACAGTATTTACTTTTCTTGGGTCTCTCTCTTTCTTTTTACCTTTTCATTGAAAGATCATCTAAACCTCTGAATAGAAATTAAATTGATTATGGCTGCCAACGAGAATACTGGAAAATGATTTAAATTGGTCTTGTGTAACGGTCCAGAGCATATAACATATGTTATGCACAGTCAATTTGCTCTCCAAAAACCATGCAATTCAAACTCTCACAGAGGACTTGTGTTTTTTTTTCTGGTTGATGAAAACACAAACTGTAACGCTGCGTTTGGCTGCTTACAGGCCTGGCAGCATCGAGGGTCGGAAAGCGCTCGCCACCGCCAGCTGGAGAAACATGCTCAATTTGATGCAGCTGTCTCCTGGAGCACATGCTGATGATATGATTCTGTGTGGTGAAAGTGTGTGTTTCATAGCTGTGGTGGTACGGAGGGGGCTGTGGCTGTGGAGCAGGCCAGCAGGCCATATAAAGCAAAGGGCACGCCAGGCTGGATAAGCGTCAGAAGAGGATGAGAGAGAGGAGAGAAGAGGGGAAGAGAAAAGTGAGAGAGGGGCCTCTGGGTTTTGGTCCCCGGAGCAGGGGGCACAGGCTGGGATGCTACATCGTTCAGACGGCCTGGTGTACACACAGAAACCTGATCTAATGTGGGGCTTTGACACACGCAAACACATCATACTGAGAAAGATACATGTTTGAGGAGCTACAAATGTGGCTACATTCAGGGATATTCAATTACAAACAGGGAGATGATGAACAACCAGCAGCAAGTTGTGCTGTTTGTTGAAGGGAACTGGCCGTGAATAAAGGCAAAGAGTGAATGAAAGTATGAAAACATACAATTGTGAGCAACGACGCAGCAACCAACTGCACCAACTCTTCTTGAACCCCTATTTCTCAATGATTATTGTCATACCAATGATTATTAATACCAGCTAGATTACTCATTGCTAAATGCTGGAGACAAAAATCCATGACAAACTGGTAAACCGATCTGCAGCAACTCTTCATGAAGAGAATTGACAAGCTTAGATTGTTTGTTTATATGGACTAAGACAAGATAACCTGATCCATTCTTATTCATTTGAACCATTTTATGCTCCAGGAGTTAAAACAGAGAATTAATGCTGCAATAATTAAACATATCTCTTCCTTTTTTTGAGATTGTCATCTTAGGAGCAAACTCAGTGGAGAAACTGTATGATCCCACTGATATTGTCAAGTTGCAGCAGATTTCCATAATTGAAATAACAACCGCAGGATTTCAAACCATATTGAAAAAAGAAATTCAACATCAGGTCAGAAAATCTGCGACATTCAGTTTCAACAATGATGGAGAAAACACACAGCGACTCTGGCAGTGCACAATATGAGGAATTGTGTTTTTCCTCAAGACAAGGAGACACAAACTAAGTTTCCCAATAGGGTGGCTTTAAATACAAACTATCGTTGCTCTGGCCCTAATATGCTTCAATCAACATGAGATTAAGTCTCTTCATTAAACAGGATGTAGGTGCGAGACTGAGCACCTCAACACACAGCTCAGGTTACTGCTGTCTGCTCCCAGTGTTAGGTTGAAGAGCATCATTACTGCTGATCCTCTGTCAAAGGGAAAGTTTGGCCTGAGGGAGCGGGGGTTGATGGTGGGCGGAGGGTGGAGTTAAAAGGTCAGCGTCCCTGACTCCATTGAGTGAAATAAAAAGCTCAAATGTCTTGCCATTTCAACAGAAAGGGTAAAGACGCCCCTCAGCACTCATTTGAATGTTCCTGATGGTGGAATAGTGATAATCTTATCTTAATCTGAACATTGAGAGCTGAATCCAGTGGAAACATGGGCGAATACTTCCAATCAGTTAGCTCTTGTACACTGAGAAGTAAAACCAGGAGTAGCTCAACCAAAACATAGGTCAACCCCAAGTTCACCTGCAGTGAAGCTGGAGCAGAAGTTTGGTTTGGCTCTTAACAAGTCTACATGGATCTTTTTTTTTTTTTAAAGTTGGCACTTGCTGTTTTATGGGACTTTAAGGAGGAGCTAATGGACTGTAGCCGAAAGTCAAATGTCAGTGTCCTTATGTTATACTTATCAATTTAAGGTAAAAGGTAAAGGGGGAAAAAGATGAAGATGCAATCAACCAAAGGTCTGTTCCATGCAGGGCTGTTCTACGCACCTAAATTATAATTTTTTGTGTAGAACCCTGGGTTGAAACAGCTCAACCTCAATGATATATGGTCTTGAAAAGACAGAATCAACAATACAACTATCAGTTTATTTCGCCCTAATTAAACTTTTTCATACAAACGGGCCTATTATCAGCCATTACGCAAAGTTTGGATAACCTCTGACAACAGCCGCATTTTCAAGACGCAGCGTTTCACATGTCATTGTGCATGCTCCAGTGCGCACGCATTCAAACCTCGTAATCTGAGGTCAACAACATCATTGCACTCTGAAGCACCACTGACATACTGTTACATACGAGGTCTACAGTATAATAGTGGTGAACACAGACAGTATAGCCTACAATTACCAAAAAGTGTCTTCCACGTGATGCCAAGTATCCACACTTCATATAATGGCTTCACGAGCCTATTTAATTATGTAGACGTTGTTTCTATTTATTGTATCTATATGTTGGTATCAGAATAACAACACAAGCCACACAATCACTCCATAATGTCTTGGGTGCCCTGCCAGTTGCATAGCTTCCTGTATGCGCTTCCTGTGCCACAGTGGAAGTGGGTAGGCTGCTGCCCTGGCGGATCTTTATTTTGATTTGCACTCTAATTGACCCAAATAAAGAGTGCATACCACGAACAGAGGTTTTCTCCTGGCTGCGTGGCCTCGAGGGGACGGCCCTGCACGTGAACACACAAACACACTCAGCAGCAGCAGCAGCGGCGGCGGCGGCTGACGTGCAGAAACAATCTCCCTTCTCTGGAAAACCCCATTTGCTATCGTGCTCGTCCAATCGCCGGGTGCCCTCGGCTCGTAAAGCGTTAGACTTGACGTTCCCACTGAACTAGTGCCGCTTCCGTCTCCTTGTCTCCCTCTCCTCCCGCTGGCAACGAGGAGATCCCCCCGTCCCGTCTCCTGCCATGAGTCCTCATCTAACCACAGTGCAGCAGCAGCGAGGCTTGAAGTGACTGCGTTCAAGCCTCGCTGGTCGACTTAGCGCACGATCGAGACGGGACACGCTCGGGTTTCTTGTGGAGAAACGCGCCGTGAGATACGGGTAAACATGCAGGAGAAGCTGACCGTAACGCAGACCCCCACTTCAGCGCGGGCGTCGTCGTTTTTCATCGAGAACCTACTGGGCAAGGAGCGGGACGGGCAGGATTTAGCGTCGGGCGGCAGTCGATGGGAAGCGGGAGCGGTGGAAATCGTCTCTATTGACCGAGTCCTCAACTCGCATCCTGCGCCCCACGGCTCCAGCTCCACGGACCGGTCTCCGTACAGGGAGTCACCGTTGCAGTGGTACCGCGGGGGGGCTGCATCCTTGAACTTCAGAGGGTTGGAAACACCACACAGTGAGTATGAATATAGCTCTTGTGATTTCTGGAAATGGATGATTATTGAACCCATGTGCAACATAAAGCGCCAAGGCATGGATAGTCTGTTGCAACCACTGTTGGAAGGGTTTAACATGGTGCTGCAGATTATCACCTTTTCATAATAGACCATTTTCTTAAATAACAGTTACTGTTATTTCATATGGGAATTTTTACATGATCCACGCCTTTTGTGCTCCATTGCGCAGCTTGAACTTAACACCACGCGTTTAAATGTTTAATGTATTAGACTCGCCACAGTGCCGTTTATTTATTGATGTAAATGTATTTTTTGGCTTTATGATAAGGAAGAGCAGTTGATAGAAAGCGGGCAGGACGCATGCTGCTTCTCGCTTCATCGAGTAAACGCTTCGAACGCAGTGTTAGTCTATGTGGACCTGGAGTCTTGTATCCGTGGCTCCTGAGCTCACAGAGCTCCCTAACCCCTGGCTGAGGCGACTTAGTTTGTTGCTTGCATTTTGTAATAAATTTTTGCATACAGCAGCGGGCATTTGAAATTACGCAAAGGGATAACGCACAAATGCCCAGTTTACAACTCAAAACAGAGGCGCAGTAACACTGTCGCCACGTCAACATGACGCTTTTACGCACACCCAGCCATTTGGGGCACTCACGTGTCCTTACTTACGAAAACAAAGTGCTCCTCTTTATGGTGTGCATTTACTTTGGATTTTAAATTTCCAAAACTTTAGTGGCTGTGTTCCTAAGTGATGGAGGCGTCATGCACACACAGCAAACTTGTTGGATGTTATTTTTGGGTTATAAGCGGCAAAAGTGTTGCTGGATCGACATGGCAGACATGTTTCTCTTATTTTATCAGGCCTGTCACTACTTCCTCATAGATCATGTGTTGTAATCCAATCAAAACGTTTTAAGGTTGCCAATTCGCATCTCGAATGAAGTGCACCACACAAGACCAAAAGTGGACTATTTATATCCAAATTCATATATTAATTATAAATAATAAATGATAATATGTAGTTAAGTGGGGTGAATATCAGATGGCAAAGTTTTATCCCTTCCAATTTATTTCAGTAGTTTTAATTTGGTGCGCAGTTCCATAAATATTTAATTCCGGTATATTACTTTATTGCAACATGCCTCAACACAGGAAAACAGGCCATGCAAAGTTTGTGTTTGTTTTAAAGAAAATAACACATCAGAAAGCTGGGTTGACAGAAATTAGACTGTCAGGGAAATATTTGCATTTGTGTCCTGTTTTAATTTTTTACAATTCGATTTTCAGGTCCATTAAGAGACAACACAAGTCCAGAGGATCACTGCTGCTCCATGACGACCAGCGACAGAGGTTCACCTGCTGTGTCCGAGCCCATAACCGAAGGCAGCGACGAGACAGAGCAGAAAACAGGGGACAGCAACCTGACGGACGACAACGACGACGCGCCCCACGCCTTTGACGCACGGCCGGAGCAGGACGCGTCATCCGACGCGAGCTCCACTCGGAAGAAGAAGACCCGGACCGTGTTCAGCCGCAGTCAGGTCTTCCAGCTGGAGTCGACCTTCGACCTGAAACGGTACCTGAGCAGCTCGGAGAGAGCGGGGCTGGCGGCGTCTCTCCACCTGACAGAGACTCAGGTGAAGATCTGGTTTCAGAACCGGAGGAACAAGTGGAAGAGGCAGCTAGCGGCGGACCTGGAGGCTGCTCACATCCCAAACTCCACGCAGAGGATTGTCAGGGTCCCCATTCTCTATCACGAGGGACCAACACCCACTCTGGGCTTCAACCTGACCGGGCATCCAGTCTCTGCACCCGTCGCGGGCTTCCCCAGCTCCATCAACTACCCTCTGTCCTCGTTTGCTCACTCCATGAGCATGCTGAGGTCGCAGATGACGGGCTTGGTGTAAAGACTGATTCATATCAAACTGTTAAACATCACCGAATCGTGCAATAGTCCACAATGAAAACAGAAAACTGCTGACTGCACCCAAAGAGCCACAGAGAGTGTGACTGTAACACAAAGTAATGCATCATCCCTACACCTCTGCGAAGCCTCTGCTCCTGTCACTGTACATCAACGATGACGACAGTCAGTGGAGGCTGTTCATGTGCTGTATGTTTGAAAACACACGGATTTTTTTCTTCTTTTTACAAATTTTTATATTTAAAGCCACGGGTTTTTCCAACGTTGTCACTTTTTCACATAATAGTTTAATAAAATTATTCTAAAAAGGTTGTGTCTGTTCTCCTGTTGTTGTGTATAACCCCTTACATTATGTATGTGGATCATAAGGTGGCAGGCTCACACAGAGGAGTGTTTATACAGAGAGAAGTGAATCCATATGTTCGCTGACACAAGCAAAGAACAGAGCTCAGAGCAGGAACCGGTGCGTCTTTTCGGAAATGACAGTCCACCTTCCTACATGTCTGCTTCTCAAAGGACTGTGTAAGAAATGCTTTGACGTGGCTTGTGAGGAATTATTTTCTGTCGTCTAGCAACATGCAAATAGAATATTGTTTACCAAAAACTTATCAGCGGTTTGCAAACGTTAGTATTTGAAGGGGAGTCTCTGTGGAAAAATGGAGAAACAAAACAAAACACATGCAGGCCTATTAAAATGTTTAAAGATTTCAGCTCGCCCCAAATTGCGCACAGTTTATTCATGCAAAATGTAGTTTCCATACAGCCAGACGATGTGGATTAGAAAAACTGTGGCGTCAGAGGGAACTAAATTGTGCCTGTGGCTATAAGCAAAATAACAAATACAAAATAAAACAAGGGTTCAAATTATATTAACAATAAAATAGGACCGCAATCTGAAGATAGTGTTTCTCTTTTCGCACCGTGTTTAATTTTACATAAATATTAGGCTTGGGGTCTAAATGCAATAAACAATTCTTATAATAATGTTAAAAAGCAACTCTTTATGTTGGACTATATTTTTATCTGTTTTCACGAAACCGTTTCTCGACTGAATGAAGCAGTAACTTCAGTGAAGAACACAACTCTGAGAAAAAGTGTGTAAATCTGACACTGGAACAGCAGTAATAACCAAGCACGGACCTTTAAATTTGCAAATCAGACTAAATATAAAAAATAAAAAGTTGAAACTCAAACTTGAATTCCTAACTTCGAGGAGGATGCAGAGACAGAGCAGGCCATGATCAAACTATCATTAGCTGCGCAAGCATTCAGCGCACACTCTGTATGTGGCGTGAAATCAAGCTATCGTATTATTGTTTTATTTTCCTGGAGGTACACTGCAGGACCTGGGTCTGCTTCCAGCAGATGAATGAGAATAACGGGGGAGTCTAAGGGGTTTGATTGGAGTGTGGAGGGAGGGCAGAGCTGAGCCCCCTACCCTCCCATCCCCTCGCTGTTATTGGTCCGGACTGCACGCTCCTCTGGACCAATCAGCGAGGACCAGGCGCGCTCCATCCGGTGTATGCAGTAGCGGTGGAGGCAGAGCATCGTCAGCCCTGTAGTGTCTGCTCAGCGGCTGCTGCTATGGTCCGTGCACCATCGAGACCTCAGTGGTGAGATCAGCGTCCCGGTTTAGCGTGAACGGCGAGCAGAGTCGCGGAAGTAAACATAGGAGGACTTACGCCGTGGAGAATATGAACAAAGTGGAGGCACCATGTCGACCCGCAGCCTCTCTGAAATTCACTATTGACAACATCCTCAACCTGAAGACAAGCGGGAGGAACTGTGACAGCTGTCACCCTGCCGGACTGCAGGATGACTCGGCCACGGCGCTGCGTAAAGACGGGTTCCAGAGTCACCACGAGGAGCACGGAGTCCAGCAGAGGCAGGACCCGGGCAGCAGGCTCCACGAAAGCGGTAAGAGGGTTTTGATGAATGTGTAGCTGCAGGCTGTGTGTAATAGAGACCTTCTGTCATCTGCGCTCACCATTACGCACAGCGCACATCCGATGGCATTGCACTCTCAAGTCAGTGTAGCAGCACAGTTTGAGATTTCACCACTGAGGGTTGAACGAGGTGTGATTTTGTTGCAGAGCTGAGGACAGACTGTAGCGGAGCGACAGAATCGGTCATCATCAGCCGCGGTGACCCGAGGAAGGCGGCGGAGGTGCGCTTCGAGAGCGGGGACAGCAGCTGCGACGACAGCAGCTCCACCACCACGGCCACGGACGCTCACAAGGGAGGCAGCCCGGCCAAGAAGAGCAAAGTGATAACGAAAAAGAAAACACGCACTATTTTTTCGAAGAGACAGATTTTCCAGTTGGAGTCTACCTTCGACATGAAACGCTATTTGAGCAGCGCAGAGCGCGCCTGCCTCGCCAGCTCTCTCCAGCTGACGGAGACGCAGGTGAAAATATGGTTTCAGAACCGCAGGAATAAGTTGAAACGGCAAATCTCGACCGAAATCGACGGACCCGTTAGCGATTTCCCCGAGACTGGAAAGCCCGTGGTGGTGGGACAGCTCCCGGCCTTGTACAAAGAGAGCAACCTGCTGGGGAGATGCCTGCTGCCCATGCCTCTGCCCGTGGTGTACCCGGGGAGTAGCACGCCTTACCTCTGCTTCTCAAACGCCAGCAAGTACTTCAGCCTGTACGACGGGGACGTATGATGGTTTTACTGAGAGAGACACTGTTCGGTGGTCTGTTGCCAAGTTTCAAGCATTTAAAGGTGTTTTAGAAGTTGGGGCCGGACCTGCGGCCTTATGTTGAGGACGACTGCAAGTATAGAGGAGTAGTTACATATCACATACAAATGAGCTGATTCGGTATTATTTATTTTTCAGTCAGTTATGGGTTGTTTTTTTTATTGGCCTGGCACTAAACCTGCAGTTACACAAAGTTTTTAGACAATAACAGGCTGGCTAAGCTAAAGATAGCCCGAGGGAGGCCTAAAACTATACCAGTATCTTCATTTTATTAATTCCATGACATTTCATTATTATACTTTATTATTGTTATCATTATTATTATTATCATTATTGACAACAGCATTTCCAGCAGCCTAAAGCCACCAAAGAAATTACTATAGCCTAGCTATTTGCATGCATTTTCTGTATCATAATGGATTTTGAATTACTGAAATTATCTATGTATTTAAATGAATGTAATTAACATTTTATTCTATGTTTCACGCATGTCTATTTTTTTTCTCAGTATCCTACTATTCCCTTTATTCCACGTTTGCCTATAGGCTCATTACACCATTTACTGAAACTAATTAAAACATCTTCATTCAAGAAATATTTCACAGGGTTGATTCAATATTTTCAGGTGAACTTTGTTTTTCAGATATCAATAGTTTGTTATTTTTGTATTATTATAATTAGGAGATGATGGGGATACAACGTTCAGTCAGATGAATAATTGGAACATTATTTTTTTTACTGCAAACTTTGTGATTTTATGGGTAAAAGAATGTGGGGTTTACGAATTGAAAACTCATACAAATACAGTATTAAAAAAATTCAAACTTTAAATTCAGAAAACTTGGTCTCAGTAATGATTGATTATATAAATCTGTCTTAAATGACTCTATGCCTGAATGGGCCCAAACTGCTTGTAGGCCCACCTCAATTCTGAAAACACAATAATGAATCTTCAGTGTGGAGCAAGCAGCCTATAAATTGTAGAAAACATGTGTGTATTCAGTATTGTTTAAAAATGCATTACCTCCAGCTGGATATTTTAATATGGAACAAGATCATCAACCTGCCATAATGGCTGTGAGTCTGGGTTAAAAAAAGTCAAAATCCAAATATTTATCTGCAGCTAAAATTACTTGAATATTTGGGATACAAAGTGCATACTATTTGTAAATTTTGATCCATTACTTTTAGATTTGATGAGCCACCTCACACGTGTATAATAAGGCAATAACTACACAGCAAGTTTACACATTCAGATGATTCAAACTTCTAACTTTCTGAATGAAAACATAATTTATAAACTAAACAATGTTCTATATCAGGAGATCAATAAAAGAATAGTTTGAGAGAATATTTGAGAAACAAATATTATGGTCCTTGCAGTGGCTCACAGATGCACACAGGAGGTGAGGCTCGACACTTCCTATAACTTTCTGTGTGCGCCAGTGTTTAGATCCTCACCCTCTTCCTGAGCAGCGGCCACTCTGCTGTTGTACCACAGCCACATACACCAGCAGCCTCAGCATTATTTTAAGTGTACACAGTGGAAAGTTGTGCTCCCACTCCTCTGAAGCCAAGCCAAGGCTCATTCCTTATGGACTAGCTTTGAGTCAGGCATATTACTAAAGATTTGGATTTGTGCTTAAGAAATAAACCTCAGTCTCCAGAGTGAATCAATGCTCCAAAATAATCCCTAAAAAGGAAACTGGGCTATCTACTTTCTGGATCTTGTGTTTCTATGGCTACGTGTCTTAGTCAATAATCTGCTTTGTGGAATGTGAAACATTTTATTATAAAGAACTGATGCCTGAATATACTCAGGAGGATCTAGTTCATTTTAACTTTTTGCACCCAAGGTGTATAAAGCAGTTGGCTTTAATTTTCAAAGGTAAATATTTTTCTCCAACTGGTGAACCTGCTTATTCAGGATCTAAACTATGCATCGTGATATACCAAACAGGCAACATGTTATGAGTTGGTCTAATTTTGGTAAAATACTGTGTGGCCCTCTGAACCACATATTCTGCTTAGAGGGATTCTGCTGAACTCCTCACACTTCTTATTCAAATTCATAATAATTAATCTGAGAAGCGCAACTGTTGTTTGGAATCTTGTGATTTTCCTAATACCTACAACAATAATTAGAAAATGTATTGATGCCTGCAGGGAATTGTTTTGCCCTCCTGCTACCATTTCAATATCCTAGATATGGGAGCATGCAGCACAGAAATAAACTGATTAAACCAAAATCTCACATAAAACTACAAACCATGAACTGTCGGGGGATGAATGTGAGAGTTGTTTTTCTCACAGATGAAAATCCACTATCTGCACGGACTGAGTTGAAAATCACTTGACCTTATCATTGCTGCCCTCTGACCCCAGTGCACTCTGCCACAACACTTACGATTTCAATTTGTAATAATCTCAATTTAAAATCAAATCTCGGAACGCATTGCAGCACATTTGTGATTTTCTTTTGTGAAAGGATCAAACTGAAACAAAGAGCAGGACACTATTTGTTCATCATCGTCCAACTGCACCAAAAAAAAACAAGAAATATGCGAAGCATTTGTGTGCTTTATTATATGTGTGATTCAGTGACATGTGCAAGCATGTGTGTGTGTGTGTGTGTGTGTGTGTCTGTGTCTGCCTCTATTCACCAAGGGAAAGAGGCCTGTAATGTCCGGCAGGCTGTCTCGTGTTTCAGAGCTACAAGAGAGAGTCACACCACTGCTCACTACCCTCAATCCCTGGCGGCTATCTGCTCAGACATGATGGCAGACTGTCAGGATGCAAGGTGTGGCCAAATGATATAAGGCTAACTCTTAAGATGTATTTAATGGAGACATTAAGATGAAGATCATAGAGCTAGAAGCTCCACAGCCTTGGACTGCAGAGGACAAGGTAAAAAGATATTCTAATCTAAAGCTGTATTATGAAGAACTATTACACATCAGAACCTAAATGCAGTAATCCACCTCAGTGCTGGTTGTTAAAGTGCTAATTGTTCCAACCACTGTCCTCTTTTCATTTTGTCACTCCATCCTCCTCACCCATTCTAACTGTGCTAGCCTCCCGCCTCTTTCCTTGTCATAGCTCATCACAGTAGTCTGTGCACTGAAGCCCGACTGTGTGCCATTACAACTGAATGAGAGCGACCTGGGAGAAGTAGAGTGTGTAACAAGGAGAGAGAAAAAAATGCAGGCACAGAACCAGTTGATGAGTGTGTGTTTGTGTTGGAAAACCTACGATCGGGTTTGTATTTCTGCATGGGTCTGTGCCTCTCTATAGCAGAGGTCTGGCTGGTCAGGAGCAAGGAAGTGCTGTTTCTGTTGGTTGGAGAGGGGCTCGGAGTGTGTGTGTGTATGCACATTGCTCCTGTGTAAACCTCAGAGGCAGCTCCTTTCTGCATGACTAGATGGGGGCCCCTCTCTCTGCTCACCCGTTACTTTAACCTCTGTTGACCTCTCCCAGTCATCTGACAAAGGTCATCACCAAAGACGATGGGAGAGACTGTCCCCGAACAAGTTTCTACAACATGAAAGCACAAAAGAGACTGTCACCAAAAGGTTGGACATGGAGGATTTCTTATATATTTATATATATATATATATACACACACTAATTTTGGCTCTAGTCCAGCTCTATAGGCCAAATTATACATTTGTCAATATGTTGAAAAAACATTCACAAATAGATAAAAAAAATATCAACCTCAACTCTTTTTCTTATAAAACAAGACATTCAAAAACCCAACGTGTAAACAGCATTAGCAGGTGCTCTGTCCCACATCAGTGTATGGATTTCCCCCTGGGGGTGTCCCACTGCACTGGAGGGCAACCTGAGACCAAAACTACATGACACAGCACATCGTAAAGTAAACAACAAGGCTATTAGTTAGAGGTGGAAACCTGAGACACGAGGTCCGTGTATGTGTCACACTTAAAGACTGTTTGATGGTCTATTGATTCGCTAATTTAGTCCCCCCCCCCACCCCAACTGATGCAAATTGCTTGAGGAAATTGAAAGATGGCAGAAGGGATGAAATCAGATAAAAGTAAGTGCTACGGACATAAGAGGTGAGAGAGTGCAGAGATAAGGGAGGACTGGACCAAGGCCAAACATCGAGCCAAGTGAGAGAGTAAAAATAATCACTTAAAATAAGTGAGAGTGAAAACAAATAAATTTAAATGAATGATTGTAAAGAGATACAGTATAAACTCAGCCAAAGCTGGCAAGTCTGTGAATGTGTGATGAAGTCTCTGTTTCTATTTGAAGCTACCAACAGAGACCAGTTTTGCATGTTTGTCCTCGTGTGACAATGAACACATACATTATGACACTGTAAACTAAACTCATGGGCATGTTCCAAGAGCAGATAGGAGGCATTTTGAATTGAGACTGTGTTGTAGAATGTCACTTCTATCCTAAATAAATGTTATAAAACAAAACAAGGGACGAGAAGGGACACCCTAACTCTATGCCAAGAACTGTGTTGAACAAATGTGAACTTTGACCCCAAGTACACAAAATACCACAATGCACTTCTACTGTGGGAATCTGGTGTTGGTGGCCTCTTTCAGGTCACTGTGAAGTCAGTCACTGGTTACATGGGGACTGAAAAAACTCAGTGATGAAAACAAATCATCTTCTGAAACAACCTCGTACTTAATAATCTCACAGTTTGGCGTTTTATATCTTCACTATGTAAAATGTAATTAATAAGCACTGTGGTAAAGTATGCAAATATGAATAAAAACTTTTTCCATTATATCTCTTTCTTAAAAAACAAAAACAAAATCACAGATACACACCCAATTTGTGAATCAATTAAAGAGCATCGTCTCTCACACCCTCCCTCACGTCCTGTCCCCTCAGAAACCGTTCTCAGCATAATGTGCCATTAATCTACCACTGAAAACACATTATTGGCCAATCAATAAGTACGATGGAGGGATAGAGGCAGAGGAAAGAGGAGAAGGAAGGAGGAGAAGGACAGGAGGCAGAGGAAGTCTGGGGGGAGGCGTTTGAGCAAGGAAGGGGGGGGTCGACACTTATCCATAACACCAGAGAATGAGCTCCACTATGTGCAGACATGGAATACTCAATGTGGCTTCATGCTGAACGTCAATATAGGTCCATTAACAACAGATACAGTTGTCAGAGTCTCCTAACTTTTCTGCTTCCCCTTTGTGACTAATTTAAAATCAACTTTCATTCGGTTTTTATTTCGTTTGAAAGCTTTATCCCTAATTTTAATGATAGAATCATGACATCCAAGTCTCTGTCTTACCACTGGGATTAAAAGATTCTGGTACTATGTCCTGGTTGTTGGTTGTCAAACACTTAGCTTAAGCTGAATTAACACAGAGATATCAGTAATTTGTTGGGGCAACAGCAATGAATGCAATAATAGTTCTGAGGCTGTAATCTGCCGTTCGCCTGGTCAAATGGTTGGTCTATGTGGTCTTGTTCGACCAAACTGTTATTGGTGACAATCACTGTTGTTAAATTCAGAAGGAGAAAAGTGCGACATCAGAAACCTTCATGGATTAATCCATTGTTTTTGGCAGCGAAAATGAAGATTACCTGTGACAACTTTATACTCAAGTGACCTAATAGAGACTTTTACATTGGCCTCATTTAACATGTACTCAATGTTTGATGTAGCAGCTGCCTTAACTCGCAAGAAAATTAGTAACCTAACATATAAAAGCTCAAAAACCAATATCCTCTTAAAAGGGTTAGCTAACATGTTTGTGTTAA